AATTATAAAAAATATATAATGAGCACTTTGATCTCATAACTTATGATTTATTCATTTAGGTTCCAAAAATCTTTTTTCTTTTGGCACTTCAATCCCTCAACTTTAAAAATATATTCAATTAATTCTAAAACTCTTATTATTATGCATTCAAGTTTTTTTCTACACAAAAAATGAAAATTATGTAAAATTATTGAAAATCACATATAATCCTTGCACATAGTAATAAAATCAAGACTAATGTAATAGATTAAAGTATATAAAATGCTTCTCATCAAATTCCCCCAAACTTAAGTTTTACTAATTTTAAAGCAAAATAAAAAACCAAAAAAAAACTTAAACTTATTTTCGTAGGAACATATACAACAAGCTTTTAAACCACTATGTCACCCTAATGGATGAGTTGTGGTTTATGATTTAGCGTTTATTTTTTCTACATTTAGATTTCTTTTTTAGAGTTCTACTTTAACCCAATTTGCATATTTAAAATTCATTAAAATTTCTAGTAATTTAGTGATCATTTTTTTTTATTACAGTTTGGATGAGTCCTTAGAGTCATATTTAAGGAATTTTATTGTTTAACTCATTTAGTGCAAGAAGTTTATCCATCATTTCTACTAATTGTCTAATTATTAAGGCACAATTTACAATGTTCTTTCATTAACTCACGACTGAATTCTATATTTCAAAAAAAAAGAGGGTCCTTGGAGAAATTTTTCTTGTTTTGAATAAAGCAAGTGGCACATCAATTCACTTGATATGTGTCAAGGAGATGTTTTGAGATAACAATACCAAACCTATCTTCACATATTAATTCATTATATTTTTATGTGAATTTAAATAGATAAAACTACATTATATTATGTAAAATTCTCTAGTTTATATAAAAAATTAAATTCATTTATCACTAATGCTGCACGAATTACATTGGTTCATCTCTAGTTTTCGTTCAATTCATAAGATATATTATTAGAAATTATTATATAAAATTCTTTTTAGTTTTAATTATACTTTCAAAATCAATTTTAATGGTGGTCAATTATTAAAAAATATTAAGAATAATAATATATACTCTCTATAAAATAATAAACCTTAAAAGTATAAAAAAATGAAATTCTATATCAAATTAATAAGATTACATTATAGTTTTAAATGATAAAATCAATTTATAATCAAAAAGTTCCATGATAAATATAAGAGTATCTGACATTATAAAATAAAATTTAAAAACAAATGAAATTAATTTACCAATATAAAATCTTAAGTTTTAATTTTCTTTAATTACTCTTAACCATCTCTCTTGCTCTCCTCTAAAAGCTCTTAATATGATTTTGAATTGATATTTATAAAATTTAAGAAACCTATTAATTATTTTTTATTAATTTTTATCGGAACAAGTAGTAACTTTT